AGGAGGAGGAGGATGTTTCTAATCGCTCCGGTGCAGCTTGTCCGTCGGAGACTCTTCCCAATCAGTTCCTTCCTGGACTGACGTGACGGCGAGTGGTGAGGCCATGCGGCACATCGTGGCGGAGGCAAGGGAGACAGCAGAAGTGAATCTTCCTCCTGCCGTCGGGATCTCCAACGAGCTCAAGAGGTAGAGAGAGAAGGAGAGGAGAGGAGAGAAGAGGAGAGAAAGAGGAGAGAAAGAGGAGAGAAGAGGAGAGGAGGATGAGGGAAGGGGAGGTGATAGGGGGAGGTTAGGGGGGGTGAGAGCGAGAGGAAGGAACGGGGGGATCGGGGAGAAGGGGAAGGGAAGGGGGGGAAGAACCTGCTGCTGTACCTTGTTGCCTTGAGGACTTTGTTTTTGATTTTGTTTGCAGGAGGCCGCACGTGCTCATCGTCGATGACAACAGGTGGTGGAGGAGAGTCTGACGAGGGCGCTCGCTCATGATGCTGGCGCAGCGTCTGCCTCAAAGTGGCAAGAAGGATGTTTGAAGGTGAGACGGAGGGATGGAGGAGGAGAGGAGCAAGAGGAGGGATGGAGGAGGAGAGGAGCAAGAGGAGGGATGGAGGAGGAGAGGAGCAAGAGGAGGGATGGAGGAGGAGGTGTGGAAAGGATGGGCGAGTAGAGAAAGGAGCACTCCAGTAGCGAGACCCGGGTTCGAGGTCCTGACAACGGCTTCGCAGACTTGAAGTGCACTACGGAAGTCGCTTCCCACGGGCTCCAGGCGTTCATGTTCGTCTGCTCCTCGGCCAGAGACGGTCGATGCTGACGCCTCCTGCCCTCCCCAGGATCGTCAAGGAGAACCCCAGCTGCTTCGACATGATCCTTATGGATCTTCGTATGCCCGTCATGGATGGTGTTGAGGTGGGGCTGAGCTGAACCCTTGCTGGGATGTTCATGCTGGTGGGCTCAGGCGACGAGGAAGATCCGGCAGGAGCTGCAGTCTGACATCCCCATCGTTGCCTTCACTGCTGAGGTGCGAAGGGGTGGAGAGGATGGAGAAGTTTTAGGCCGGACGAAGCTGCAGGGGGAGGGGAGGGAGGTGGAGGAAGTGGAGGGAAGGAGAGAAGGAGAGTGTGTATCGTAACAGGGGGAGCAGATGATGGAACAAGAAGTTTTGAACGAGAGCGGCTTCAACAGCATCATCAACAAGCCTGCGACCAAGGGAATCTTGTCGTCACATCTCTTCAACCTCGTCATCAACAAGGTTGTGCTCCTCCTCTCTTTCCTCGCTCCTCACGCACTCTCAGACGGGTTCCCTACTCACCAGCCTGATGCAAGAGAAGAAGCCGGAGGAGCCGAAGCAACCTGAAGATAAGGCGTCACGCAAGGTGAGGAGATGGACAGGGAGGGTTCTAGCGACGAGCAGCCATGTTGTAGGACAAGGATGATGTGGTGATGGGGAGGAAGAAGATGAGACACGCTATCTCTCACAGATTGATCGCTTGTGGCAGGTCAAGTGCCTCATTGTTGAAGACAACACCATCTGCCAGAAAGTTGCAAAGAAGATGCTGGTGAGAGCTTGCAACCTGCCCTTCCATTCCCTCCTCCTTGGTATTTTCATCCTGTTTTCCTATGCTGAAAGATTGTTTACAGGAGAAGATGGGATGCGTTTGTGAGTGTGCAGACAACGGAGCGATCGTGAGACCTCTCGTCTTCCCTCCCCTTCTCATTCGTATCTCCGTTCTCTCCTCTCTCCTCTCCCTCTCTCCCTCCCTCCCTCCCCTCCCTCCCCTCCCTCCCTCCCTCCCTCCCTCCCCTCCCTCCCTCCCTCCCTCCCTCCCTCCCAGTGCCATTGAACCGTGATTGCAGGCCATCGACCTTCTCAATGCCGACCCCAAGCGAGCAGACTTCATCTTGATGGACCTTCGCATGCCCGTCATGGACGGGTTTGAGGTGAGGGAGAGAGGGAGAGAGAGGGAAGAGGAAGAGATAGGGGGGAGGAGGGGGAGGATAAGGGGGAGGGGGAGGGAGGGGCAGAAGGAAGGAGGAAGAGAGGGAGGGGCAGAAGGAAGGAGTACGAGAGGGAGGGGGAGAGAAAGGGTTTGTGCGCATTTCGTGATCCTGTTCTGGATAGGCGACGCAAAAGATCCGCAAGGAGCTGAACAGGTCGGAGCTGCCGGTGGTGGCGCTGACGGCTGAGGTGAGATGAGGAAGGAAGAGGAGCGCGAGGAGGATCAAGAGAAGCAGGGGGATGAGAAGTGAACGGAGGGAGAGGGAGGAGGAGGACGAGGAGGAGATGGGAGGTAAGGGGAGCATGCATGTGACTTGCTTACAGGTGGTTGATGACTCGCAAATGGAACTCTTTCACGGTTCGTGCTCTGCTCCTCTCGTGATTCTCACCTGACAATCGAGCAGGCGTTCTCAACAAGCCGGCTGATGTCAAAGTGCTCAAGGCAGAGATCGCCAAGCACATTCCTTGGTTCTAGAGCAGCGAAGAGGAGAATGAGAGTGGGGAGTGAGTAGTTTATGCTTGTTTGCCGCGTGTTGACGAAAAAATAAAGAGAGTTTTTGACAACCTGAGGGGCGAGGACAGGTTTCATCTCCTCACCCAGCCAGCTTCTTCCAGTGCCATCACGGCAAGCTGCTGGATCGCTTCGCTCTGCTTGTGCTGCTCCATGCTCAGCAGCAGCAGCGGCATCCCGCCGTTGGCCGAGAGCTGCGCCTGCCCGGCAGTGGAGGAAGATAACACCCAGAGGATGCAGCAGCCCGGCTCGATCACTTTCTCCTTCTCCATGTGCTTCTTCATCACCTGCATGACGACGGGGACGCTGCCGGACGTGATCAGTCTTTCTCCTCCTCTCTCGTCCTCGTTGATCAGGAGGCTCAGCATCGCCATAGCTTTGCCCACCATCTGGTCGTCCTCCTCGTGCGCCTGCAGCACTCAAGTCAGTCATGAGGAGGAGGAGGGCGGGGAACGGCACACCTTCATCAGCTCCATCACCTCCTCCATCAGCCCTCCATCCATCAGCCGCACGGCGTTGGAGGATGTGACCAACGCCTCTAGCCCCTCGCAGATCACCCCGCACATGTCTCCATCCTCGCCGTAAGTCTTCCCAGTCTCCAGCAGCTTCCTGTGCAAGCCCAGCTCGACCATCGAATCCTTCATCATCTCCTCCCTCTGCATCAGCTTCCGCAGGAACGCGATGCTACTCCGCGCAATCCTCTTGTCGGACGATCCCACGAGCTCCACCAGCATTGTGGTGACCTCCTTCTGCTTCAGCTCCGATGTGTCACAAGCTCGCTCCTCCACCAGCAGCGCCAGCAGTTCCATCGCCTTCTGCACCACGTCAGGGACAGATCGGTGCGTCTTGATCGCCGTCAGAGCATATCCCGTGCCCCTCTCCTTGCAGAGCTTCTCGGCATTAACGCTGGAGCCGCGGATGAGGGCGAGGAGGGCGAGGAGGCCGATCTCTTGCACCGTCACGCTGCTCCTGCTCAGCTTCAGGCCGTTGCAGACCAGCGCGATCGCGCGGGACCTGCCCAGCCACGACCTGATCTCCGGGTTCACCTCCGCCAGCCTGGCGAAGCAGGAGGTGATGTCACGGAAGATCCTCTTGCTCACTAGGAAGTTGGACAAGCAGACCACCAGCGAGTCGAGCGCTTGGTCGTTCAGGAACGCCGTGCTGATGAGGACAGGATCCTTCTCCAGCTCCAGAAGAGCAGCCAGGAGGCGCAAGCTCGCTTCCTGCACCTCGACTGCATCCGAGTGGAACCTGAGGGCCTCGAGGACGATGTCGAAGCCTCTCTCCTTGCAGAACTTGGAAGCTGCTTCTGCATTGTCCTTGATCAGGTTGACGATCGCCTTGAGCGCCTGGTGCTGCAGTGTAGCACTCCCGCTGTGGACTCGCAGAGCGTTCTTCAGGCATGCGATCGCTCCTAGCTCGCAGGCCTTCTCCTTCCCCTCGGGTGCATCCTGCGTCAGCGCCCAGATGGCTCCACTGCTCTGCAGCTGCACGTCCTCGTTGTCGATGTGATTGCTCATGGCCTCCATCACAAGCTGGATGCCATCTTCCGCCACGATCCTCCTCGACACTGTTGGCCCGCACTGCGCAAGGAGGCGAAGGGCTTCGCATCCCTCCTCTTGCACGCTGGCATTGCTTGCATGCGTTCTCATGCCCTCGTAGATCATCTTCAGTCCCAACTTGAGGTTCGGCCCGGAGTCGTTGCCCTCCATGTTCGCCACTAGCTGCCTGGTCGCCTCGAACCATCCCATCAGATTTGTGCCCTCAATCTCAGCAGGCAGGGAGCGCGAGAAGCTGAAGCCTTGCTTCCCTGACTGCGTCTCCTCGCTTGAAGCCCCCGAGTAGACCGTCTGGTCACAGTTCAGGCTGTCGCTCGAAACTCCTTGTCCTCGGAAACCCGCAGACCTCAGCAGCGACGTGAGCTCTTTGTGGATGACTTCGAAACTTGGCCGCTCCCCAGCGTCATGGGAGAAGCAGCGATCGAGCAGATCTGAGAGGCTGGGAGAGAGGTCAGAGATGCCGTCAGGCTTCAGCTTGTCCACTGCCACTCGTCTTGCTATCTGCACCATCGTGAGCCCCTGCCATGGCTGCTTCCCCGTAGCCATCTCAAGGAAAGTGCAGGCGAAGCTCCACACGTCACTCTTGAAGCTGACGTGCTCGTCAAAAGCCTCAGGGGACGAGTAGTTTGGAGTTCCCTTGTACTGAGTAAGAGTAGCAATTGTCTTAGTGATGGTCTGGGTGACCCCGAAGTCAGAGACAACCACGCTATCGGTCTCCTCGTCCCAGAGAATGTTCTCAGGCTTCAAGTCAAGGTGGAGCTTTCCCAGATGGTGAATACCCCACATGGCTCTGCTCACATCAATCGCATATCTGATAGCATCTTCTTCGGGAAGGACACCTCCTCTCGATTGTGCCACCTGGCGAAGGTTCTTCTGGTACAGCTTCATCACCAGGCAAGGTTCCCCGTTGTATTCGCTCACACCCAGCAGGCGGCAGACGTTGTCACACGAAGTCGTGAGATCTTGCATCGTCCGTAGCTCTGCTTCCATCGACTGCAGTTCGCCCGAGCATGAAGGCTTCGGCAGCATCTTCATAGCTACCCGCACATTGAACTTGGGATACTGCAGCTGAGCCGCCCACACGTCACCCTGCGCTCCTCTGCCGATAAGCTCGAGCCTTGTGAGGCGATCAGGCTGAATGCGCCAGAAGCTGTCCCTTTGCCACCTACGAATCTCAAAGAAGTTGCGAATGGCCTTACGCAAGTTGATGTTCTCAACCACCCTCGGAATGCTGCTGAATTTCCCGCTCAGGGGACATTTCTTGCTTATCTTCAGCCATTTCTCGATGGCTACCCGCTCATAGCTCATCCCACTGTGCACTAGAAGAACCGGATCCACCATCACTTCTCTCGTGATGCCGCAGCAGAACTCCTCAGGAGCGTCATCCTCCGAGAACTCGGAGTTCAGTGCCACTGGCGCTGTTTCTGGTTGTTGAGGGGTTGTTTTGTGATCTACGTCGTTCTCCATCCGTGCTCTCAGCTGGACAGGCCAGCCTCAGCGATCCCGTCGTTTGCGCTGATATCGATTCGGGGCAGAACCCTGTCGAAGTGACTACCCTTGCAATGGGCCCTCGCACGAGTCTGGCTCAGCTCGCGATCGCTCACTTTTCAATTCACGCCACTCGCAAGCCGCCGATAATGAGGCTGGAATCTGCCTTGTAACGTGTTGTCTCCTCCTTAATTCCTGTCACCGACAAGTGTTTCACCTCCCTCCTATCCTTTGTTGAGCTCTTGTCCTCCGAATCCTTTATTGTCCTCGTGTCCTCCCCTGCCCTCCCCTGCCCCCTCCTTTCAATTCTCCGTGTATCATCTCCAATCCGCTCCGCTCCTCTCCTCTCCTCTCCTCTCCTCTCCTCTCCTCCTCTTCTCTCCACCACAGAGCATGTGGAGGAGTTCGTCGTGCAGCTAAAGGGGTAGGTCTAAAATAATTGATCATAATCAAACAATATTTCAAATGATCGACAATATACCCGTCTTCTCCATAATAAAAATTGGGGTACTTGACAAATATTCAAATATTTGACCGTAATTTCAAAGAGAAACAAAGGGCCGAGAGTTTCCTGAGCTCCTGAGTTTGATAATATATATAATTAGAGAGTTTTTGGAGGGGGTAGGTCGGTAGAAATGTTGGGGGTGACCATGGTAAAAAGGGGGGTGCAGAAGAGGATATTTGTGGGTGGGTGTAAAACATGGGGGGTTCCTTGTTAAAAGGGGAGTAGTCCATAAAGCGTCAGGGTGGTATGACTGGACAGACCAGGGGGTAGGGTGATGAAGGGGACAAGCGGGGGTGTTTCATTAGAAAAAGGAGGAAACACACCAGGACAAAAGTTCTCGTTGGAGCAAGACATGGGGTGGGGTACATTTTAAATTGTTACAACATTTTTGAGGTACGAAACAACTACTTTTTAATTACGAAAAAACTTCTTTTCCATCTGTATCGTATCCCAAGTAGTCGTTTGTCACGAGGTCTCCGGCCACCGGGCCCGAGCCGACCCGGGCCGGAGTTGAGCAGAGCAAGGTCACCGGACTCAGGGAACTGACTATTGTGACCGGGTCCGCCCCAGAATTTTTAAAAACATTTTTTGGATGAGTTGTAGGGCCGGCCCCGAGTTTACCACATGGACGGAAGTAAAACTCAAAAAGTTGAATTCACGTCTAAAAGTAGATAAAAATACTCTTATGATCTTAAAAATGGAACACATAGTGTACTGAATTCACCGACATCTCCGATAAATAAAACTACTTTTATATTATGAAATATTGTCTAGATCGAGACGGCTGAACTGTGAAATTTTCAAGGTAATTTGATAAAAGTTGATGATTTTGGGTAAATTTTCATTCTATAAAAACAAAAACACTTTTAGAAAGAAAATTTGTACCATTATTGTGAACGAGCTTGACTACCCCTCGTTGAGTCTACTACCCTACCCCCCACGGTACTCATTTAAATTCACCCCACCCATGAAGTGATTTTCTACCCCCGTAAGATAGTGATTTTAGAGCAGGTCACATCTCAGTACCCCTCATATCTGTACCCTACCCCCACATTTCATCAAAGATACTGGTGGAGGACCCTGCGTTTTAGATCCCTACCCAATCTTCGCCTTTCCATTTGTGAAGGTGGTATGTGGTTCTAGGTAGGGTGGGGTAGTGCTCTTGATGGGGTGGTGATGGAAGGCTTATAGTCCTTGGAGAAATGGGCTACATTTATTCAGGGGTAGGGTGCAGAATTGTGTTCTTTCACCCCTTATTTCTCCTTGTGAAAATACCCCCTCTTGACCAACACAACAAAAAAGGACCCCTACAAGTGCTTTCAGCCTCCCATGTACCCCACTCCAGACTTCATGTCACCCCTACCCCTCCTCGTCTTTCGCGGAGAATGCTGCACAATCCTGTGCACAACCGCAACTTGCATCATGCTTGGGCTCCCCTATTCCTCCCATCCCTCCCCAATTCTCTCTGTACTCCTCCCTCGTCCTCATCTGACTGCTTTCCCTGCTCCCCATCGATACCTGCTCTGTTTCTCTTGTACGATCTCAGTTGCAACCCACACATACTAGTATATTTTTGTACCTGCTTGTCGCTTTCTCGAACATGGTCTAGCACTTGCCAGAATCAATCATTTAGAATGTTGGAACGATCTGAAGCCACTCTGCTTGCTTCGTTTGCATGTTTCCCGCACTTTTCTCACAGTAGTGACGTCACTGTTTCAGCGTTGCTCCTTTCCTTTGCTTTCACTCAGTGAATTGTGCAATCGTATCCTCAGTTTCAATCCCCTCAATACTGTGGTCTGTAGATTAGTGCTATCATAGCTGTCTAGACGCCCACCAGACATCCTAACGTATCAACAAGAATATCGCTAAACTATTGGTTGTCATGTTCTCACTTTAAATTTATCAGGCGTCACCTTCACGTGTTGACTGTGCCCATTGGATTCGGCATTCGGCATCGAATATTTTCCACTGTGCAGGAGCTTGATTCGGGTTATCCTGGCTGATTACGAATCCCTGGGGTTTTCATTGCGCAAATACGAATTTTGCAAGACATTCTTTGCGTGACATAATGCGCCATCAGATCGCCTTCGCAGCTGCCATCATGGCAGCTACAGCTCTTTCAAGCGAGAAGTTCCGCCAGTATCTAGAGAAGGAGAAGCAGCATCTTTATCTCCCCATGAGGGAAGAAAGCGAGGAGAATCATGGAATGTACCGTCAAAAGAAGAGATAGAGGAAACGCTTGACGTGCAGCTACGTTTTTTTTCTAAGGGTTTCTTTTGAAACAGCTCTTCTGAGAGATCTTGCTGGTGGATAATCCACGAGTTGTCTTTTGGTTGCGCTTGATTTTTGTACCATAAAAGTAAAACATTCGAAGTCGTTCCGCACTGTGTCGTGTTCTTGCATGGCCTGAATAGTGCTAACTCTCAAACATCAAATACTACCAGGGTTGGAGATCAGACTCTGAGCATGCAGTCACAAGAGTGAAGATCACGAGCAGGAGCATGCTCACAAGGCGCGGAGTACGGCATCCCTTCCCTGCCAGAACGTCGCGCAAGGCTTGCTTAAGGACCTGAGGGAATCGTAAGCAATGTGAGAGTAGCAGCAGCAGCAGCAGCAGCAGCAGCAGCAGCAGCAGCAGCAGCAGCAGCAGCAGGAGGAGGGACCTGCACGTTGTAGTCGATGAGCCCTTGCCGCTCAAGGTTCTCTGCTCGCATCAGGCAGACCTGGAGGGGAGAACGTCATGGAGGGAGGAGGTGCGGAAGAAGCACCAGCGAGAGATACTTGGAGACTTCGCGCATGTAGAGGACCTGCGATGGAGAGGGTGAGGTGGGAGGAGGAGGAGAAGGAGGAGGAGAAGGAGGAGGAGGAGGAGGAGGAGGAGGAGGAGGCAAAGGAACTGGAAGACTTGGAGGAGGACAAAGGAAGAGGAGCAGGTCGTGGTGGCTGCAGAAAGAAACCATCTCATTGTTGAGGGTTATGATGGCAGCAGATTGCGAGTCGAAGGCAAGTACATCGCACTCCTCTCCCGCCTGTTGATCTCTCAACGAGGATCCCCCGACTAGTGAAGGAGTCGACCTGGCCGTAGATACACGAGACGTCCACAACCACGTCGAGCATGTCAGACGCGAGCTCGAAGGATTGAACGTCGACGGGCTGCGAGTCGGTGGCGATGTAGACCTGGGAAGGAGTGAGAAGAGGACTGGGAGAGGTTGCGATGATGCCTTGGTGAGCACGTCGAAGAGGAAGGCCTACACAGCATGTTAGTATGGAGTGGTATGAAGGGGAGAACCAACAGGAGAAAGCGAAGGAGGAGAAGCAGGGACAAGGAGGAGGAGAAAGAGGAGGAGGAGAAGCAGGAGGAGGACGAGGACGAGGACGAGGAGGAGAGAGAGGGGGCAAACAAGGCAGCGGGAGAGCGGGAGGGGTTCACCTTCTGAATTCTGCAGTTAGAGATCAGGATATCGAGCATGTTTTCGAGGGTGGCGAGGGAAGGCACGAGCTTCTGGACCACCTTGGAGACGTTCTCGTAGATGGAGTGATCGTAGATGGACGAGAGGTAGAAGGCAACGTTCGCCTCCTCAAGCCTCCTCAGGTTGAGCTGCTTCGTGACGTGGTGGGAGATGTCGCGCTGAAGGTCGAGCTTGCGCTCCTCCGACAGGCCGTCGACCTTGTGGACAAAGATCTCGAAGAAAATCCTCCTGTTCACCATGTACGCGCGCTCGATGGTCGCGATCAGCCTGGACAGCGCTGGGCCAAGCTCGTCCTGCGCGTCGAGGACGAAGAGCAGCGCGCTGGCAGGGATGAAGACGCTCCTGTCGTCGGTCGAGAGCTCCTCGGGAGTGACGGAGCCGGCGAAGTCCCAGACCTTGAACTGGAGGATGGAGCTGTGGTCAACGTCGTGCTGTACGGTCTTTACGGTGCTCTCGAGGAAGAGCGTCTCGTGAGGAGACATCTTGTGGAAGACGACCTTGAAGATGCTGGTCTTGCCGCTCCTCCTCAACCCCATGAGCAGGATGCGGGGACACTTGGATGCGCTGAAGCGAGAGGATGCCTCCACCTCCGATCCTCCTGGGGACCCTCGGCCAAGGAGGTCATGCGGGAAGGAGCTGGCCTGCGTGAGGGAGCCCTGGGGGGTGTCGTAGCCCCCTGCTGCCCTCATGCTGCTGGTTCAGGAGAGCACAAAGACAGGAGGAGGGAAGAGAGGGAGAGGGAAGGGGGTGGAATGAGAGAGGGAAGGGGGGAGGGAAGAAGAGGAAGATGGATGGGAGGGGAGGGGGAGGAGCGAGCGAAGCGACAGCAACGGGTGAGTGATGGGGAAGGTGGGT